ATAAATAGATTTTCACGTCCAGAAAGACGGCGTCTGTGAGTTACGGGCGCTTCCTTCTTGCCCCCGCGAAGCACAAACACTCTGCTCAAGTCAGGGCGACACACATGCCATGTATATATCATGGTACTTGTGACCATAACTGATGCTTTCAAAAATATGGTTTGTATGTACATTTTCAATATGTCATACAGCTGTTATTTCGTCACGTGACAAGACAGATCAGTAGTTGTAATACTGGTCGAGCTCCTGACTAATTAATTAATTACTCCCAGACAAATGTCACACGTTGATAGCATATATACCGTCAAACAAACTTTGAAACGAAAGAACTAAACCGTCGTATTTATGATTTCAAACATCTAAGATTCCTCCCAAGGAATTCGTTAATTATACAAAACAAATCTGTCTGTGGTTATATTCTAAGAATTCGGTCCGAAACAATTATATTGGAATTCGTATTGAACGAATATCGCGTTGCGGACATTTTTTCCGTTCCATTAAAATGAAAAGACGTTGTCTCAGAATATTTTATCGTGTTTTAATCGATAAAAGAAACGAACCAGACAAGCATTGTGAAATGTTGGTTTCCACAGTGTATCGGATAAAACAGGGGAGGTCTATACAGGGTTAAGCGTAACTCAACCCCACTTCCACATGTTCTCAACTCCAACAATGTCGGCAAATTTGCACCTTTAATTAAATATAATCATGTAGTTAGCCTGTCCCGAGTCGACAGAAATATAACGTGATACGCCACGCCAGCGCTGACTCGCCCTTTGTGGCATCACACTGACCACTCTCCGTCTTAATGGTACCAGGTGGTCAGTGTGAAGCTGACTGGCAGACCAGTGGTCAGGAGCTGGACACTCTCAGTATTACGTTGTCAGTTCAAGGAAATTAATTACATGCTGAAAGGGGCGTGTCACATGGAACACGGTGTTACGTTCAACGCTACTAGGCGTTGTTCAGTCCGTTGAAAGATTAGTCGTGTTAAAGGGGTTTGCGGGTCGACTTAAATACAGTTTACGAGTAACGGAGTTTTTGTTTCGCTTGTAAAATATAACGGTCAAATATCATCCTAGAACAAATGCAAAGAGAGATATGACATATATTTGGACATATGTCCTTTAAATACAATAATATTTCCGTCTGACACGAACATAATTACTGACGGAGATTTAAACGGGAGAACCAGTATTATCACATATATTCTGACATATTTTCGAACGTCCTTTAAATAAGATAGCAGTTACGACCAACTGCATGTTTGTCTACGACACTACAGAATGAACGGGTTTTAAATGGGAGGGATATCATTGTACTTCTAATTAATTTAATCAGAATTTATATATGATAAAATTAAGGTACGGATTGTTTTGATAAAAACAACTTTTATCTTCTTGCTAAGCTCTGTATATAGATTAAAAACCTCTAAAACGGTATTAGCCATAGTTCATAAATGCTATGGAGATCATATATATTCTCAAAGAAATTAAACCTTAAATATTAGACGAAAAAAGCCCAGTTGAACAGTTCTCTAAAAAACTTCACACCATGAACAGGGTTCTTATCTTTGGTGTATGCAGTAAATAAAATGTTGATTCTTATTTGATACTTGAAATTTGAATATCTAATATTTAGGATATATCACTATTGTCATTTTGTACAGATATTCAAATTATTGCCAAGTCAATTTGGCATCAGAGAAACTATGAGAGACGTTTAAAACTACGGACTAAACTTGTTTATGCCCCAATGTATAGTTGAACCTTGATAATCCAAATGGTATTTTAAAACTTTTTGAATATTTGAGCGTTAAGAATTATGCTCTTCTCCAATTTGTGGTGTTTAATGTGACGTACCTGGAACAAATCGATCCGTATTTATGAAGTTTTATAGCAGTTGAATGTATAAATAAATTGAAATCAGTAGTGATCAGTCACTAATATTTCCACACTGGTTAACGTTCAGTATGTAATCACTGAGACTGGGTAATGAGTTTCACGTTCTAGTAACTGTTTACCTCAGACGGCTGAATTGGTTAATCTTATGGTTACTCAGCTTTACTTTTGTACGGAGACATAACTTTAGCAACAAGTTGAACTGCATCTACCAATAATACTACAGGAGCAGAGGACAGATGTACAGCTGCAAATGACTTGCCACAGCCATGGATGTAGACAGTACCAAGTCACTGGGGAAAGGCCAAGGCCCAGTTCTACAGAAACCTTTATTACACTAACGAGGCCGCTTAAGTCGAAATGTCTATGTACAGTGTAACCCAGTTAATCCGGACGATACCGTATCCAGGGCAATCGTCCGAATGAACCACGCCGTTTTATTGAATCAATGATGCGGGGTTTATCCATTCGTATTATATATACATGTAGGTTACAATGATCTTAAGGTTTGGAGGTTGTCTGGTCAAAACTCGATTATTTACAGACTGTCGTCATTTAGATGGAATATTGCTGAGTGTGGTTTTAACAACAAACTTAGGATTAACAGGGTTGGAGTTTATACGATGTAATTAGAAGAACTGCTCCATTTATCGATTATGACAGAAAAGGATTATTTGTTAACGGTAGTCAGGAAGAAATAAAACTTTGCGAAATGTAAATCTTATATTCGATGTATATTTTGTAATTTCAAGGAACACGATTCAAGACACGTTTTTCATGAGCTGGGCTAATAGGAACACAATGTTTATACATTAATGCTTGTTTAGACTAAGAGTACTTACAGTTTCGCGATTTAAGTAGGAATACCTACTTGTCATTACACATCGAAAGAATTTCAGTAATGTTTGCTTAGTGAGTAGTGTCGCAAAGTTAACTAATTTAACCTCAAGAAAGCTGGAGCTTCTTAAAACACATCCCTTCGTTTTTTATAGAGAGATTCGAATCCACTGGCAGTGCAAGTATATTTGAACTCATTCAAGTCATTTCAAAATCATGTTCTTTGTCTGTAAACAAAAATGTCATGATACGCATTACCTGGTCGTTGATTACCTTCATTACCCAAAGACAACGTCTCAGATTTACACAAATCATTAACGACGTCTAGAACTCGCTACTGTGCTGTAAAGCATAGAGCATCCCCAATTGATTAAATACTTTTTTCTCGGCTATTATAACGGTATTATCATCAACGATGCGACATTCTAGACTCTTTTCCTGCGATGCACAGTTTGTACGGTACATCCTTGGAAATTATAATTATTTGAAATATTTGGTCACTGTAATTTATTTTTACAAGGTGTTGTTGATATATTCTATGTTGTATCGAAAGGTATACAAAACGAAGACAAATATGTTTTTAAATAATATGTTTTACAATTCAGGTTGCCACGACAGCTTGACACGAACTTGTTGAAGGTTTACATTGATATCTCTCAGTCTTTAACTAACAAAAAAAACAACTTTACAGTTGTAAAGTTTACATTTAACTAGAATCTGTTTCGCAAGATAATTGAGACTGATTATATTCAGGCGTTGGCGTTTTATGTTTAGACTAGTATATAAATCCAAGGTATTTCATCGATCGTTAAATGTAGAATTGTTAAGTGGATTTTGTACCACCATTAATTAAAGATGAGAATGCAATGATGATTAGGGAAAGACCTGACTATGGAAGGTTACACTTAGACACATCGATGGCTGGTTGAAGGGTTTGCTTGTTTCTCCAAAAAGGTTCAATTCAACCCCTCCGAGATTTGACTGGAATGTTACAAAAAGCGGATTAAATCCTAAACCACTCAATACTCTGATTATAATAAATAACAGTAACCAGTACTGCGGCTAGTGTAAAATATCACAGCACAGAGCATCTTAAGAGTACATTGTTTTTAGGCGAAATAATCTGAATAATGATTTAACAGAAACTATCGTAGTGATTGCACTACAGTACTGTATACCTGAGTGGATTGACACAGCCTTGTGCATTGTTGAGGACAATAATTACATTCGTCGATAACGAGTACTTTAAAAATTAATTAGTAAGTACAATATCGATTAATATTGTTTTAGCGTTGTATTTATGCATTGAATCCCTCATTGTTTGTTCTCATTGTGTTCAGCACATATAATAAATAAAGTTTAAAATGATTTAAGGTATATTTTGCTTTTATGATAAACAACGGCTATTTTTATTTTAAAAAATTATTATTTTTTTTGAAAGTTAAATGTATTTTCAGAGGCATGTTTATACCAGGTGACTCTGTGTTCCAGACTCACACCCGTTATCAGAGTCGAGAAATAAAAACAAATCAATGCTTTTGAGTTGTTATAAAAAACCTTGCATCTGCCGTTTCCAGATAATGGAAGTCTTAAGTTCTGATTTAGTACATAACGCGCATCAACAGGAAACATAATATGGGGTCTGAGTGAACACGTTTTATTCCGTTAGTTCTTAAGAAATGATTGGGAAATAAAGACTTATGCAATAAATACTTCAATACAGTTCATATTTCAAAGCTATTGTAAAATATGTGTTCCCGAGGCTAAATGGTAAAACGAACGAAATAATGGTCATTGAAAATTCCAAATTTGTTCTCAATCTTGAATTACGGATCTGAATTAAACTTTTACTCAATAAATGTGGAGCAAATACTTTTACGATCGTCGACCAACAGAATCGTTTATTTTATAGAAAGGGATAAAAGCAGTGCGTAAGGGAAAGCTAGGAGCGGCGTGTCAATCTCGAGTAGTCTTGTGCCTCGTCGGGCTTTCTCGGTAGGAAGCGAAAACCGAGATGTCGACTCGCTTTAGATCCGCTTCGTATTATACATGCAACCCAAGGCAAGAGATTGACAGGTGTGACTGTCAGGAACAGATTTCATGCAATTATCCAATCAGGACGGCGCTGGGTGTTATCGACCAATGAGAGCGGACCCTGCCGCGCGAAGCGCGATCTGAACAGTGGCACACCAGCGAAGCAAGTGCTTGAAGTGCCCCTCCCCTTTTATTATGATTGTAAAGTGCTAGCATAGAAGACGGCCCTTGACAAAAACTAGAGTAAGTCCATTTCTAAACAATCCACATTCAGTTGAACCGGCGGTGCACCCGCTTTCACTGTCCCAAAACAAATAGGTTTTTACCGGCGAAAAATCGACATTGTTGACGACGGGTGCAGTGCTAGTCTGTGTTTCCGACGAGGGAAGTGTTGCGATAGTTGGACAGACGATCCGAGGTTCCGAGTGTCAGTAGTGTGAGGATTCTTCACGGAGGGTGGGACTCCTGTTCGAGCTGGGTCCCGTGTCTCACGCATTCGTCCCCGGGGATTGTTGGATACCCCTCCGCGGACACACCAACATAGGCATGGTGGAAAAAACTATCCTCCAACCCCATGAGGGATCCGGGGAGTTTCAGAGCCGGACCGTTTCCCCAGACAGTTTAGCACTGGATTGTCACGTCACTACAAGGGTAAGGCAACTTCCTGGATTCACCAGGGATCTTTAATCCGATTCTTGTGTTTGCAACTTGACATGTACTCACGCACATATATCTGACCTGTGACAGATGACACCCCTCAACATAGCTATAAGATACAGTTTCACTCTGGCTTAGCATCGCGAGTGTAGACTCCCAGAACGCCTTACCAAAGCACTCACACATGCACGTGTAAGCCCCACCTGCGTTTCAAAAGGATAAGGGCAGATAGGTTTTGGGTACATCTTCCAGGTAGCGACGCATATGTCTCAGGAAATGCACGTGTTTATCTGTTTATTTTCACCTCGAAAACTTCGCCGTATAACCCAAGAAAAATAGCATCCTTCACCCTCCCCAGAAATTCGCACTATCTATCAGTTGTCGTAACAAGCATAGCTTAGACATTAGGACCAAATTGTCACGTCAACTGGCATTACAAATCAAGGCACGTGGTCTTGATTTTGGAATATCGGGGATTGCTGGAAATCATTTTCTGACTATCTCTGCGGTCTTGAGCAAATTCACCCATCTGGGTACCGTCCATGTGATGGATGGGGGGATGGTAACTGCTTCCGCCTTGTGTCCTTAGGGGGTAAGGTTCCCTATCCTGAGTTCGATACAGACTGCTGCAATTGCTGATACGAGATGGTTGAAAGCATTGATACACATTAACATTTAACGGTACTCCTGGCGAGGTTTAATCTTGTAATACTTATTTTTACAAATTATTTGAACATAAAACACTGGATTGTTTATATTTACTTCACGATAAGTTTATTAATTTTGGCTTTCATATTTGATGATGCATATGTATAAAGGTCAGAGATAAGACGAGAAGCTAATCTAATTTGGACATGCATTGTAACTATATATTTGCACAGTTTGCAAATTGGATAAGTGGGATGTTGGTGTGTGTTTACAAATAGAAATCATTGTGTGAAAATTACCATAAGGGCTTTCATTTAATTAGATGAATTATTGTAAATCGTTGTGTCCGTTATTTCTTGTAGGTGGGTGTTTATCATTGAAATAGCATGATGTCCTTGTCAATTACATGGCCATGTATTACACAAATAATAACATATATCAACATATTTGTAAAAACCGTTTAGTTGTGTGTGTGTGAGGAATATACACTTGGTTTCTTTCATAATAAATTAATCAATTCCGAACTTACTGAATCTACATTAGTTTGACTATGATGCTGTCAATCAGCATTTTATAAAATGTCTTAAAATTCCGTTTAAATTGAATATATTGTTCAATAAAACAAATACAAGAAACTACAATTGTCCATAGGTTCTAACATGTACATTAATGGCTTTCCAGGAGTACAATTTGTATAAATCGGTCTGTTATAGCCCCATTGATACTTGTACACACCGAGAGAAGTTGAAAAGTGTGCTATTTGCTCAGTTTGACTGCAATTTTGTTTCCGTCACGCTTCTAGCTGAAATCGACGAGTAATCCAAGCGCAATGTAATCCCCTTTCTCTATAGTAAAACACGTCAAAGCTGCAAGCTTGCTTGATATTGAGTGAAATTCATTTGTATCGTGTTGAGCAAACGGTAAGCACCTGCTCTTAACGGAGATGGGAATATATTTTTCTCATTGACAGCTGTGAAATTATGCAGCTTGTGAAAATCCTTGATTAAGGCTCTTTTTTCAAAGGGTTTTGGAATACCATTGTTGTTTGGAATAATTTGCCGTGTATCTAACTCTATATACTCCTCTGATAACTGTTCCCTTTTATTTAATAAACAAGCTCTGTATTGGTGCACGAATCTTGAATTAAAATGCATATGTTGATTATGATAAACATACTTAAACAGTCGACACTCTTGTAATTTAAGGATAGGTGATTAAAAACATTATTGATTGAGGTATTACCTTGAAATAGACACTGTTAATACGTTTGTAGAAAAATATATATGGATCGTATTGTTTAATTTCGGAATTATATCATTTATATATAGTCTTCAGTTTGTTTAACTTGTTTAGAAATATTGACAACTGCTAAATAAAGTCACAAAGAAGTTTAATCGATACATGTTGTTTTTTTTAACAATTTAATAATCAGTCTCATAATAGCACATGCGCTAAGGGATGTAATCAAAGAGGAAAACCAACGATGATTGTGTTCGGATCCTACGATAATTACACTATTCGTTTGATTTATTGTTTATACCTGGAACGGGTAATTTTCACCATAAATGACAGCTATAGACACGCACTTGTCACTTGCTGAAATATACATGACCGAGAATGCACGTTTCTATCTCCAAACAAACATGGTTTATAACAGTTACCTTCGGGAATGACAAGCTTTCATACATTTCATTGCTTGGTTGAAGGGTCGTCAAAAGCTTCACTCCAGGAAATTACGGATAAAGAGGGTAAATTATTGAACATAGTGTAGAGACTTCAGCTTGCGAGTTAGTCAAAACAGGTTATCCGCTTGGAAAATTTCCTGTCTAAAAAAACTCGGAAACGCTTAATTTGCACTTCGTTGTTTAAACTTTTTGGTCTGTCGGATTTCATAACTGCTTTGCTCTCAGATTAAACTTCAACTTTACAAATTTATAACGCGCCATGAAAGCTGTCTTTTCGCTTGTTCTGAAGTATTATATTTGCAATAGACAACTGTGTGATTTTCACAGCGCGATATTTCTGGTATCATCTATCCTTCACATCTTCACAAAGCATGTCGTAGGTCGGGATGGGGGAGACGAGGGGGGATGACGCCGGGGACATTAGCCGGTATGCGATGGGGAGGGACGGATTTGGAAGGGGGTTTATATAACAGGCCAAAGCGCCGGGACATGGAGGAAATCCGATCTCTTCAGTGCGCATATCTATCAATCTCTTTCAATAGTAGGATTGTCGGTTGTACTTTGGGCGATCAGTTATATCTACAGGTCGTCAATTTCTACTTCCTAACAAAGAAATATGCTGTGAAATGTATATCATTTTAGGTGATTTCGGGACGAACGCTGGGGTATAATCAAGGACGTCTTTATGTGATATTTACTTTTGTGATAAGGAACTTTGTATGCAGTTGATCATTTAATCACTTCAAAATTACACATGCCGTTTCTTTTCCGAAATTTGTGTTACTCTGTATTTTCACGACAAGCTGAATAGTTTTGATAAGGAACTGCAAAATATGCTTTCAAATCACCCCTTTCTTCCGACAATTCGTTCAAAGTTGTACATCTTTGACGGTTTGAAAGTAAAATTACTTTTGAATGTATCTGTAATATCTAATTTATTGAACAAAAACTGTCAGTGGTTTTCACGGTTTAATATTGCAAGTTATCATGCATAATAGTTAAAAGAAGACATATTTCGCCGAACGATAGTCCGCGGTATTTCCTCTCTTTTCAAATCAAAATTTACTCCAGGAGAAAACTTCAATTGCCCGCTGGTCCCTGGGATCTGTAGTCTGTTATCGATGAAAACTAACAGGTAAAGGAAATCACCGCAATAAGAAACGTATTCAGGAATTGCAAACCGTCGTTAGGAGACTTTGACTGGCTAGATGTGAATAATATGAACAGTTAAACCCGCATTATTAAGTAAAAAATAACAAATTGATGTAAAGTTTATATAATGTATATGCACGCCTGTTAATTTCAAACATTGCAAACGGACTTTTGAACATTAATGCGCATTGCAATAACATATTTTGTATGATATTCGGACATATTGATTTATTGTTGATATAACATGTTTAAACATAATTAATCATTTAATCCTAAGAGCTTATGGAAGTTATTATTATTTGCAACTGCAATACAATGGACTTAAATATGGCCCATATTTAATTAGTAAAACCAAAAGGGTCAACATATGGCATAGCTAAATACTATTAAACATATATATCTTCGTTACCCCAAAAATGTTGTAAACAATTAAAAATAACATCTCGGAAATGTATTTATGTTTTGTTTGATAGTTGGATAGCATAATATATATGGTAATGGTATGGTTTATACAGTGATTATCAAATTGTATATCTACCTCTGGTAAGAACTACTACAAAATTGATATATTGAGATATATACTTAAAACAATTTGTTCTTAAATAAGTAGTACATACTGCTAAGTCTTCCTGAAGATTATACAAAGACTATACAAAGTCTATATATTTCATCATGCCAAAACGATTGGTCATATCTGAGAAATTATACTCTTTATAAGATAATATAATATATGTATATATATATATTTGCCAGTGTCACATATCTATATATCTACCCGTCATTCAGATCTTAAAAGATAAAATTTACAATATTCAGACTGATACCATGGAATGCTTATTAAACATGAAAACGTGTACAATGTAAACGTTGTTATACTATTGAATTCCCATTGAGTACTCGTCATTAATAACATAGGTAATTGAATGAAGCACCAGTAATTATAGAGGGCGTGTACACATACAGATGCTCTTGTGTAGTTCAATGGTAGTACTTCCTCGATGAGGGTCTATGTTATATTCACACACATGCAATTCTCTCTCTCTCTCTCCAATCTAATTCTTCACACATGTAAATTACATACTCTTACACTCTTACAATTGAATTTCTTTATTAAATTTCTTAAATTTGACTCACTCTACATTAAATAGAAGTTGCCCCCCCCCCCCCCCCCCCCCCTCTCTCTCTCTCTCTCTCTCTCTCTGTCTCTCTCTCGTTATCAGTATAATTAGTATTCCATGAAATTTACATTATAGGAGATCTTAGGGGTTGTCCAATCGAATTCATCACACATATAAATTACATACTCCTACAGATGAATGTTTTTATTAAATTTCTCATAAAATGTTCCTTATATTTCATGTCATTGATAATGTTAGTCATTCTTTTTTTTCCAAAGTCAATTTTCTATATACAGTTTACATGTTATGTTTTCAGCACCAGATGCCTTTGAACAACAGCGGTGACGACTTGCCCGGTGTTTGTGCTGGCTGTGGTGGTCGCATCGTTGAGCGCTACTATCTGCTGGCTGTAGACAAGCAATGGCATGTATCCTGTTTAAAGTGCAGCGATTGTAAATTCAGACTCGACTCCGAACTTACATGTTTTGCCCGGGATGGCCTCATCTACTGCAAAGAGGATTATTATAGGTAGGAACTATTAATTTACATATTTAAACTTGTTTTTAGGAATAAGTGTTATGCCTGTACTACTCTCTCATATAGACGCTGAAACAAACCTATCCCAGGAGACCCAAGCAAGTCTACATTTCTTCAGTTACAGGAAAACGGAGACATTCTATGTGCTCATACTATTATATATATAAAATGCATTTGAAAAATGAAAATTTCATATTTTTATTTCAGAGATAGATTGTTGGTATGTGCTTGTAGCAATATCGATAAAAGGCTTGAGAAAATACCGTTATCACTATGAAAGGTCAATGCTGAGTCAAGATTCAATGACATAAATACTGTTGGTTTCTGGATGATTCAGAATCAGATCATGTGGCACTAAGGTACGCGTATTGTCTTCTACCAGAAAGAAGAAAAAATTTTCCCTGTGGCTATAGAAGCTGTCCGAATAGTCACTATCCTGTAACCCTCCCATACATTTTAATTCATAAATTTATAGAAGTAAAGGGTGCGTTCGTTAAGTCGTCCTGAAAGAGCATACTTTAAAACTATACATCTTGACCTATGAAATAAGCGCTACTTATCGTGTGTTCTCTTCAAGAGAAACCATGTGGCATACCTAACATAGTCAAGCGTATCCTACACAGCAAGAGAATAACGTTTGAAGATGTTTTTATTGAACACTTTTGCAGGTGGAGGTTGTACATTTAACACCCCTGTGTATGTGTCTGGTGCATCTTTCAACTGTATGAAATATACCCTACTCTATTGCCACATGGTAGTATCAGATGCATCTCATATGTCTCGAATGAAAAATCAGGCGTTAATAATTGTTATCAAAGGTAAATCCTTCATAACGAAATCTTGATAATATTGACAAATATTTGCGAATATACTCAGAACCAAGTTGACGTTCGGACTGATGGGTGTTCAGAATATAGAGGTTCCATTTTCACCTTTTCTTTCTATACATAGATAATTATTATAATTTATCAAAATCAGGTTGTAATTGAGCCTAAAACACCGATACTCTCGTGTTAAACATTCATACCATTTAAACAACAATGTTGTTTTGTTGACGTTGCAAATGAAGTCCTGCAGAGTTGTTATCTGGTAATACATCAATGAACAAGGTAATGACACCAGGAAACCCTACGTGATTATTCTAAACCATCTCTATTGTGGAATTACAATCGACAAACTCCGCACGTTGTTAGTAATATTCCCCGATTCGCCTGTGCGCTTGTGGTGATGATATTGGATTTGGCTGACACCGATGCTTGCTTTTCTAGGCGCATCATAACTCGGCGTAAAGAGCTTAACAATAACCTAACGTTGTAATCTGCCAATCAAAACAAATTAATTTTCCGGTTGCGCGTTAATGGTTTCATAATTGCATGTAACGCTCGCGAGGCCTGAGCGACACCGTCACACGACACTGCGCAGAGCTTCACGCGAGATCGCAAGAGGGAAGAAGACCCGCTTGTTTGTGAAGAAACTACAAAACAAATTACAGTGTTGGATAATCCTTTTGTTGCTTGTTGCTGAGTTTTAACGCTGACCAAAGGCTGTAATAGAGAGGTGTACGGTTTAAGGGGACAGTTTAATACCGGAGAGATTTTTAATGATTTATAGCTATTCAACGTTTACGTCTAGAAGGGAGCTTTATTTTGAACGGATAAAATTTGCTTTCTGAACAAAACCCACATTTGGGACAGGGGGTGAGGTTTTATCATAAGGTAAATAATGATTAAGTCCGGTGTTTTGTGATAGATCTAAGCAGGAGCGGTCAAGGTTGGGATGCACTAAAATGGACACACACACTGTAATGTAATAGTGAATAACTATTAATTACAGGTGATTTCTAAACTATGACCAGAAATGTTCGAAATACAGGTAGATATGTTAATACTGATGAAATTAAATATCTTAAGGAAGAGAATATATGGATGTCAACTTCTTTATTATGAGGAACACAACGTTTCGGAGTATATGCTTACTCCTTCATCAGGTGAATGAATGCCATGAGGCAGAGAGCATATATATGAACATGTAAGGACAACAAAATTAATAAGATCACAAAAGGTTGAAAATAACAAAGGGTAGAAAACTAACAAGGGAAGCCAACACATGATTGGAGCTAATGAAGGAGTAAGCATCTACTCCGAAACGTTGTGTTCCTCATAATAAAGAAGTTGACATCCATATATTCTCTTCCTTATGTGTATCACTTCCAAATGCCTTTCAGCGACCTGAAATATCTTGTTTGAATGAAAGTAGATTAGGTAAAAAAACACACTACGGACAACAATATCCGAGATCAACATGTCAATGGCAAGTTCTCATATAAAACAGAAATAGCCACATTCTCTGGAACCTTATCACAAAGAACCTCGTCATTCCAGAATCCTCCCTTACTGGACACAAATGATTTGTTTCGTTGATTCAAACCAAACGGATTAATGAATGTTGTTTAAGTCATCATTCATCGACAAAACAACACTCACGCTTTTGTTTATTTTATAATGACGTCTATCGACTCTGTACTACATGAGTAGGTATAGGTATATTTATATAATGCCCTTCTCTTGCTGCGTATAAACATTTGTATAGTACAGTTGACAACGGTAAGGGGGATGTCCTACAAACTCTTGAAACACATCTATAATTATTCGCAAGTAAAGAATGTTTTGGTTGTTTTGATTTTTTACACCGAGTAAAAACACCGAGCTCGACAGCGATCTTACTAGATATGCTTATATCCACGAGTATTTTCTCAACACATTTCTTCTCAATATCAAACAAACATGATGACTTCCGTTTCGTTTATTTCAAACAAAATGCCACGAAAGTACACTATCATTCGGTCATTTCAATTATCATATGTCCTCGCAGCTTATTTAACGTTTATTTTGACAGTTCATGAAAGAATGTCCCTCTGTCAGTCATCATTCTAGAATTCTTTCACAGAGCCATTTCCCAACTGATATTTTCACATTTCTCGACTGGACGCCATGTTTACGGACACCCGAGGTCCGCCCATCACCCAAACTCACGGAAAAGTAAATACAGTTTTTGTTTCCATTCCCCTCAAATGATGAAAATATCTTTCTACATTTTTCGGTCTTTTCTTTCACTGTCTAAACCCGGCAGCGACCACGTGCATTTTAATTTGAATTCAAGATTTCGCTGACACTAAACGGTTTGCCATCTTTCGTCTCTGCTTGGAGGGAACTGTTTTGTAGGATACTGTTTGCCTGAAAACTGCTTACGTACAGTGATGAGAGATAGCGCAGCTGATCGAAACCATATGTGCTTCATAGCTTGATTGTGCATGAGACGATGGTCTAATTTTCCAATAAAAATCTTATAGATCCGTTGCCATGGTGAACCCATTTAACAATGGATAATTGCAGGGAATATTATGCTGGTGTGACAGACATGTGTTTTCTGATGATGAGTCGTAATACACATATGCTAAATACCTTAGGACATTTCATTACCAAGAATGACACGAAATATTTTGACATAATTTGAAAAATCAAAAGTGAAATATTATGAGGTATTATTATTATTGATATTTTCAAATTAAAGTTTCATAACGTAATATTGACGTGTATGTAATATACATTAATTGCTGTGATTGCCATCATTATATGTTTTTTATTATTTTGAAAAGACAGTACGTGTAAGATTTCGTCAAATGACGCCTTGTGTATTCAGCACTCCCGGATAATTGTCCAACATAGGTACATATATATATCCTACATCACGACATCGTTCCGGAATACGGCTCCTCAAACTCACTCACTGTCGGCATCAAAGACGCCACGAGGACTCTGTATCACTTGTGTTGCAAACCCTTGCCTGAAGTCCCAATATCTCAAGTAGTTTAGCTCCATCCGCCTGTTTGATCATCCGATCGATCCTACCCGATCGATTACGACAATCGAACCGCTTTACGGTTGAGAAAAGCCCGCGTAGGAAAACCAAGAGTCGATTTTCGGCGTGTCGTATTTGTCGTCTCTTCTCTTAGACCAGATAGTATAGCGGTGTTTATACAATGCAATGAACAGCCAGAATTATTTATGATATGGCTGAATAGACTTTGCCACGGCTTGAATTTTATCGAATAACCCCGTATCATCAGCAAAGAAGGAACTTTGTGTATATATGGATTTCATCAGTAATTACATCAAAAGTATCTCTTATAACGCTACCGAGGTATCCACTATCGTTCAAGGAACACAAGACGTGCTTTCATTTTAAAGATTCCGATTGAATCTACTTAAATAATTAATAGACAATGCGGGGCAAATCGGATGCCATTGTGCCGAAACCGACGCGATGCTGTAGCTTTTATTAATCATTCTATCGATATAGCTATTCTGGTATTGTTAAAAACGGGTTAACTCTGCGTGTTTAACTAGACGATCATTGTTCCACTGCATGCGGGTATTGACCCAAACTATCCTCTCTATCATCCGTGATTTCTTCATAGGGATTCGAAGACAATACATTTAGCGGTTTTGATGTATTTTGCATGAAACCCTAACTCTATTTACTGTACGCGTGTGAATTATTAAAACATAAAAAGAGAATTTTATATCGGTGTAACGAGATACGAATGAAACCGAGGCAGACAGTTGAAATATTTAGCGTTGAATTTTACTGTTATGTTAGATTCGTATTATTTGATTGCTTTCTGCTAGAAGCTAACAAAGGCCGCGTTAAACAGCTGTATAGCTTCAGTGTTTATGTGCTTGAATTACTCATGATTTTGTCGACTCACAGTTAGAGTGAAATATTATTCAAACTTCTCTCTTTCACGTCTCCGTTTCTAGCCAACGTTCAGATTTGGAACACGTGTTCCGGTGCAAAACTGATTTCATAACGGCAAAAATAATAATTACGAAAATACCAGACAAAACCATTCTGGCGAAACCTAAGCCTACCTCCAGTTACAAAAGAAACTCAAAGAAGAATGCTTGAAAATCTTTTTCACGAAAATTTGC